TAAATTGGATATAGATAATAAATTCTCATCAAATTATGTATAAGTGCATGTTAAACATAAAAATGTCTTAAATTATTTCTTAAAAACTAAGCAAAATACATATTAAAGAGGAGGGAGGTCAAGGTCACAGGAATGTGCAAGATGAAGTTTTTGATGCAGCTGAATAGCTCTCACTAATACATATTAGCTTATTATGTTTGATAAAAATATCTTTAATGATTTAATAAAAGTGAGCTTAACACTTTGTTTTAAGAAAAGAGAAGTCAAAGGAAAGGTTGTGGTCAAAATGTTGTTCTAGCTGAAAAGCTTACATCAGTGTGAATTTACTATTATCAAATGAATTTTGATAAAAATATAATTAATGGTTTATTTGAAACTTAGATAAACACATATTTTAAAAAGTGAGGTCAAGGTCAAAAGAAAATTCAAGGTCAAAATAAGTTAATGCAATAATAGCTCTCATCAGTATGTATTAGCATATGAAGTTTGATTAATATATCTTGAACTGTTTATTCAAAACTGATCTAGTCTAAGACAGTGAGGTCAAGATCACAGGAAATGTCAAGGTAAAAAAGAGTGAAGCATTGTAAAGCTTTAATTGCTTACATCAGTATGTATCATCATGTGAAGTTTCATTACACAACTTGAATCATTATGGTTTCTCTAAAATAAAGCTAAACACTAATTTTAAGAAAAGTTAAGTAAAGGTCAAAGGAAAGTAAAGGTAAACAAGATGTGTTTGTGAAACACTATGCGCCCGGCGGAAACAAAGTTCAAAAAATCTATTTTTAGCATATTGGTCACAGTCAAGGTCACAAGGTCACTGGCCGTGGTGTCATTTGAAAGAACTTAATCAGTGGAGTATGCATCCCAAATATGAAGTCCCTATCTACTATGGTTTAAAAGTTATGGCCAAAAGTGTAAAAAGCTATTTTTAGCATATAGGTCACAGTCAAGGTCATTGACCATGGTGTCATTTGAAAGAATTTAATCAGTGGAGTATGCATCCTAAATATGAAGTTCCTATCTCCTATGGTAAAAAAGTTATGGCAAAAAGTGTAAAAAGCTATTTTTAGCATCTAGGTCACGGTCAAGGTCACAAGGTCATTGACCATGGTGTCATCTGAAAGAACTTAATCAGTGGAGTATGCATCCCAAATATGAGGTTCCTATCTCCTATGGTTCAAAAGTTATGGCAAAAAGTGTAAAAAGCTTTTTTTAGCATATAAGTCACAGTCAAGGTCACAAGATCATTGACCTTGTTGTCAACTGAAAGGGCTTTATTAGAGGAGTATGCATACCAAATATCAAGTCCCTATCTCCTATGGTTAAAAAGTTATGACAAACAGTGGAAAAAGCTATTTTTAGCATATAGGTCACAGTCAAGGTCACAAGGTCATTGACCTTGATGTCATTTGAAAGGACTTTAATAGTGGAGTATGCATACCAAATATGAAGTCTCTATCTCTTATTGTTCAAAAGTTATGGCCAAAGTTAAAGTTGACAACAGACAAACAGACAAACAGATAAACAGACAAACAGACAGGACAAAAACAATATATGCCCGGGATCTATCGATCCGGGCGCATAAAAAATATTGCCACAGTTGGATAGTTTACATCAGTATATGCATCAGCATATGAACTTTGATAAAATATCTAGAAAGTAATTTCTTTGAGCTCGATGGAAAGACAGATGGAAGGGTGGAGGACGGACATGACAAAAACTAATACATGTATTCCTAATCATGGCGTAGCATAAAAAACTTGAATATACATTATATGAGGATGTTTCCATATCAAGATTATACATGCAAATTCAAAGAATTGTGGTCCTTTGCTTTCTGTGTTTAAGTGAATGGGATGCCATAATTTATGGCAGATTGTGTATCAAATATGCATCCCTATCATATGTCACTTTATGAAAATTAGGTCAAAGGGGGGAAATCATCGCATGCTCGAAATATTTTGTTGCAGGTAAAGTACATGTCAAATATGAAAGACCCATCTCTTTTCAATCAAAAGTTATATATATATAAATATATAATATAATATTTTTGAAAAGTAGGTTAAACTTCTACGTCAAGATCAGAAAGTCAAAAGTCATGATATATTTAGAAAAGTCTTTTCACATGTAATATACATGTATAATTTAAATGCCATATCTTTTCTCTTTCAAAATGATTAATTTAAAATGTTATTTTTTGGAAAGTAGGTAAAATTTTGAGGTCAAGGTCTCACTTGGGTTAAAAAATCATAGTACATTTAGAAAGTTTTGTGGTAATGTACATGTGAAATATAAAAGCCCTATCTCATATTATTCAAAAGTTATGATCAAGGTTAAATTTATTGTGACAGATGCACATACTGTCAAAGATGGCCAGACTGACAGACAAATAAGATTTATTATTACCTAACTTACTATCTAAATTATAATTAGGCATTTTGAACTGTTTCACGGTTTACTTTATGTTTTTGCGTGATCATGAAACAGTGAACTGTTGACCGGTCCACAGAATGAACTGTTGACTGGTTAAAGCGTCATTGTGATATTCAAGCGTTTTGATGATCACGACATCACTATTTACCTGCTCTATAATGAATTAAATTTAAACAAAACACACAAACAATAAATTTATTAAGTATTACTTTAAAATAAAAATATTAATTTAGTCTTTATATTATGTATTCAGCTAATTAATAGACAAGTATGTGAATAAACAATTGTGAAAACTTTTTATTGATTGTTTGTGTGTTTTTATTCCAATTTAATTAATTATATAGTAGGTTAGGTAATAAAACACTTATTCAATGACTACTCGGTGAAACAGTCAAACTGTTGTCCCTCAGTAGTACGTGGGGGAGACCTGGGAAACTGTTGCCCTTGGCCTTCGGCCTTGGGCAACAGTTTCCCAGGTCTCCCCCACTACCTCGGGACAACAGTTTGACTGTTTACCTCGTAGTCATTAAATAAGTGTATAATGTTCCCTCCCTTTCCCCCAAAACGGGGGACAATAATGCCCTTGCTGTTCTTGAGAAGAAGATTTATGATGGAAAAAATCCCCTGCATATTTCTTAACGCAAATCAATATTGTGTTTTTATGTCATTTAATTGTTTGTTTGTTGTTAAACATCCCTCTCAGGAATTTTTCACTCAAATGGAGACACCCCCACTTGAAAAATAATGAGGACAAGTCGGATTTGAGGTCAACATTCATTTTAGGAGTTTTCAACCATTAAGACGTAAAGAGACAGGAACTCGATCCTTCCCTTCACCCCATCCCAGACCCCTGTTTATATTCATGACATGTATGCAAACTACTGCTTGTTTTACATTTTTAAAAAAATATGTTAATAGCCTATATACAAATACTTTAATGTGGTCCATCTCTTTGAATGATTTTCATTCCTAATTCTAGGAGGATAGGTTGATGAATGAAATGTCAAGCAATCTTATCATTGATGCACTTTTATTTCATTTAATGCAGTCATATTGTGAACATTTCCAGTTAGAATCATTAGGAGAGTGGGGATGACCTCCAGGGGGTTCAAAACCTTTATACCATTAAATTTACATAACATAATAACACAAAAAGCGCAAAATTATGTATTGTCAAATGGAAAAAGTTTCCTACTATTTAGGAGTCACATGATCATTTGCCATTACTGTTTACAGGGACTGGAAGTGTATCTTGAGATCCCCCCCCCCCCCCCGAATTTGCAGGACTATAATATAAAAAAGACTTTGGATGCCCTCCACCCTAGAAAACAGACACCACCATAACTTCTCCTTTTATTTGCTTCTCAGAAAATCCTGGTCTGGAAGTCCCCCCTCCCTCTCAGAAAAAAATTCTGTATTTTGTAACTGAATGTAACGTCGATAACGGGCGATAACTCTTTAGAATGTGAAATTCGTCTTATTGCAGCATCGGATGACCTTTGATCCTTTAAACTTTAACCTAACCAGTTGCATTTCAGACTATTTTACCCAAATCTATACCAAAACGTGTACTTACCGACTGCCATAGCTCCAACTTCATGAAATATAATCCAATTAAACACAAAATAATTCCAACTGACATACATGCAATGATGTGTATACACAACACTAGGCCTAGTACTGCACGTGCAGTGCTATCTAAAAATGATAATGGTAAAACTAGTACTTAAGTTAGGTACGTGACGCAAGCCCAATGTGATGCAGGTCTTCAGATACATTTACAGTATAAGAACAAATTTAAAATTATTATTTACAAAAGATGTTTTATCTTAACTTTGCCATCTAGGCCTATTTCCAAAAACAGGAAAATAGGGTGTGTTTGCGCGTGTGTGTGTTGATGGGAGAAGGGTGGGGGTTGACTAAATTGATTGGGTATAAATGGTATATGGCAGCTTTCAAGGTGTTTCTGCCTAATCAAGTATAAAAAAGTTTGTACATTTTGGAAAAAATCATCAAAAACGCTTTAAACTAATTTGAATAATATTTGTTGTTGATCTATATGAGAAAATAGATTTAAAAAGTTCCAATTATGGGCCAAAAATTTACCCCCCCCCCCCCCCCCTTGTTTCAAACCTAATTTACATCATTAATTGAATTCTGTTGTTTAATTTCAGACTGGTAATGAATTATGAATATGAAATACATGTACCTATAAGATCGAGGCCCATGGTGACGGGTCACATGTTCACTTGAGAATATTATGCTCAATTTGATGAATACATGGAGGCCCTATTATGTAAATTATTAAATTATATTGACTTTTTCTTTGGTAAAGCCTAATTTTAGATTGAGTAATTGAGGAATTGTTTACTTTATTATTCATTATAAAGATCTTGACAAACACAGATGGATTCTAAGTCATGTATAGGAGTAATTCTTTAAAAATCATTTTTTTTTAATACACGGAGTAGATGATTTTTACTTAATAAAAATACTTAATATTTTTTATTTTATAACAAGTAGATTATCTTTTCTCATTTATTATTATGAGTTGTACTCACCGTCCAGCCTCCCCTATCTGTCGTCATGTCACAGTAAACAGTCTTGATCCCAGAGCCTACGGATATTCTGTATATACCATCTCGACCCTTTAAACTCGGGAAAATCTTTAAAATCTCCCTGCAATCCTTCAGAAGCACTATGCAAAATATTATAAAATTGCCACAAATAAATGTTTAGGACACTTATAAACTTCAATGTTATACAGAAAATACTCAAGTAATTGTGGACTGACTGAAATTGTGTGGTGAAACCTGATTAGGAATTTTTGTCTGCAATTATCCCCTTTTTCCGAAATAAATATTGTGTAAACCAAATTCACCTTGTATCCACATCTGCCAAATGACCCACAGTAAGCATTTGGATATGACTGCAACAAGAGGAATATACATTTTCAACTCTTTTTTCGATTATTACGACTGAATGCAAATTACTTCGCAAAGTGAAAGGTCAAATACCTTATATGTATTGCTCACCATTTTTAAATAAATTTTTTGTTTTGCTTTGGCATTGTTAGAGTAGAAGTACCTTTAATGGCTTATACATTGTAATATCTTGCCACTTTGGAGTTGGTTTCTTTTATCTATAAGCTGGCATGTATCCCCACAACCCCCATCCCCTGATAAAAATTCTGGATTAACCTTTAATTCTATTAACTTAAGGTAAGTCACTCCTGAAATTCGTTAAATCAAGGATTTTTTGAGAAGTATATTTTGGATAAGTACTCATAAAGTGTAACTCAAAATCGCAAAGAAAATAGGGGTCAGTGTGCATCCTACTGATCTACGGTACATCTAAATTGACATTTTTGCACTTAAATTTCATCTCTTTGGTCAATTACTTTAACCCATATTATATTTTATCAGATGTAAGCATGGCAATAAACATAATATTATTTTACGTAAATAGTTTGAATAATATTCATCATTAAACAAATTTTGCAAATTAATGCGCGTAAATTATTGTGTGACCTTTTTGCACTAAAAAATAACATATTTGGGTTATTTAAAAACTTAATAGGCAATAAAAAATAGGCAATCAAACTGTTTACGACTTAAGTGCTTAGATAGATTCACAAGTATAGAGTAGTTTAAAATAATGAAAGAAAAAGGTGGGATCGGTGATGTTGATTTTGAAATATTTGTCAAAATATGTGATTTTCAGGCAAAAAATGGTGTAAATTTGATCTTGACTTGTTTAATATATTTTCATTTTTTGGAAAAGTGTGTTGAGGGAAGGTGTAAAACTTAGTCTAAAAATATAAATTAAGACCTATATTAATATTTTTAGCAATATCAAAACGGAAAATATTCTCCGAGTAAAATTATGTGAGGCTAAATTTCCATTTCATTAAATTTTATAAATGTGCAGATTTGCAGAATTTTCTGCCAAATATCCTTCCAAAAAGAAATAGTCCCTCATAAATCTTCATTCTTTGTAGATTTTTGAGCAGTTTTTCGTTGAATATTAAAATTTACATTGTTGAATTTAAATATGTTATAACAATTGAATTTTAATAAGTAGTTTTGAAGTAAAAGCTTCTGCGTGAACTTTTCTAAAACGCTGACGAGTGACATACCTTAATGACATTTTTAAATGTTTTTCCCAGTATATATTCAGGTTCAATAACATACATATTCGCATACTAGAGTTTAATTTAATGGGCCAATGAAAATTCCACTTGCAGACATTCAAAGACGTCAGCAATCTCACATAACCGCATTACATCCGCTCTTGAATAAATCAGTTTTCAAAATAATTTCATTTTACTTTCTTCCTATCTTTTCTTTCTTTAAAAAACTTTTCAAAGTTTCTATTTTCTATTTCTAGGAACAACAATAGTATTTTATTATAATTTATTCATGTTGTTTCTTTTTGTATTTATTTCTATTTAATTCTATTTATTTCATTTGTTTTGATGAATTAATATGGTTATTTTTTTAAACAAAACAATCTTCTGATTAGAAATTATAAATGTATGCTAAAAATAAAAATAAAAAGTGCGATGAATCAATTCCTCCGTATAATTTTGAAAGAGAAGATATATTTCGAAAAATCTCACTGAACAAACAACGTCTTGACTGACAGATTGATCAAATAAATATTTGAACATAATTGTGGAAGATGATACACATTGTATGGTGTACAAACGTCTAAAATATATCTCATGATTGATTTCGAAGAAAAATCATATCTATATTTATTAAAGAAAGCTTGTAACACGATTATTCTAATGTACAGTTCCTTTCTTCAAGGTTTTTTTCAATTCTTCTTTTTATCATTCAGTTTAGTTGTCTTAACTGAAATAGAATGTAATATTTTACCTTCTGACAAGATCCAGCTGGAATCATTCAGATCCCCACAAACAGTGTGTAAAGTTTCATTTACAGAGACGGAGTAGTTTTCTAAAGCGTACTCTGTCTTTTTCACACGTTCAAAAAAAGTGCTTACGCTGCATTTCTGTAATGTTACATTCATTGCATTCATTTGATATTGGAGCATTTCGATTTGCGGGCTTTTAGCGGAAACCATTTGCGATTCATTTAAAGCCTTTATTTTCTCTTTTGTATTCTGTTCCGTCATCTTCAATGTCTGTATGACTTTTCTCAAGTCACTTTCCAATGTCTTTTTTGACAAATCAAGCTGTTCTTGAAGACCTAAAATTTTGTTTTCAATCATCTGGTCAAGATACTGAATTTCTTCCTTTGTAAAGTTTCTATTGTAAGTCACTGTCTCGTACACTACCTTTAATTCTTCTTTAAGTTTGATATTTTCTTCCTCAATATTTTGGCTTTTTGTCTCCAGATCCTGCAGTTCTTTTGTCACCTCACTGAGTTTTGCCTTGATAACTTGTCCATCTTTTTTGCTGTCCACGGCATCCATCACTAGACCTTGTATTTTTTGTACCATAGAAAGCGGACCAGACTTTCCTGATTCAGAATGTCACGTAGGACATTGGAAGCTTTACCGGATACAGTACTAGGGAGCAAACCTTTTTGATCAGAAGCTTCGTTTTCAATTAAAGATGAATCACCAAATGTTCCATACAGAAACATAGACAGAAT